GCCCGCTCCTCCTCACCGCGAGGCGGCCGCCCCTTCTGCTCCGGCTGCTCTTACGAGCCCCAACGGAGGAAAGGGAAGGTTTGCTTTGCCCTAAGAGGCTTCTCACGGGACCTAAGTAGTCTCTTGCTCTCGGAACTTGCTCTTCACCCTCCCTCGCCCGTGTTTACTTTAGTTCATGTTTGCTTCCGAGGCTCGTGCCTACCCCCCTCCCCTGACACTGCTGGGTTTCATGCTTCTGCATCGCTTGATGCGGCAGCAGAGGTTTCACCCCCCCGCAATCAGCTTCAGTTACACGCAGCAGTCAGTACCTGCCGAAACGAACGGAGGCTCTTAAAAAAATAAACCACCCAACCAATTACTTGTAGGGCAAGTACCTCTTCCACAGCTGTTTTAAAGGATCTAGAAGGAGTACCTAAATTGGGTATGATCTTGTTAATTAATCAATTAATCTACCACATCAATTAGATGTAGTGTGGTGGGTTTTTTTTCTTAAACATGGTGAGGGTGAAGGTAGAACAGCAGAAGTTCTCCTATGACATAAAAGTGGGAGGAGTGGCAGATGGACTAGCCGGTTGTGCTGCCATCCGCAAGAACCCAGGCAGGCAGGCGAAATGTTTGATAGGAGCCTTAGGAAGTTCATCAAGGGGAAGTGCAAAGTCTTGGACTCCAGGGAGGGGATAACTACAGACTAGAAAGCACCACTGCAGAGTGGAGAACTGAGCCTCCAGCTGAAGGGAGACCCAAAACTCAAGGGGATATGGACCTTGACATCTGGCTCAAGGCGGCCCTGCTCAGGAGCGGGTGCCCTCCCGCCTCTGCTGTTCTGAGCACAGGCCACAGAATTCCAGAGGGGGGGGAAGGGAGGTGGATTTCCAGTTCTGTCCTCTACCCATTACACCGTAGGTTATGTCATATAAGTCTTGAGAAGTTTTCTTCTACATGGAAAAAAAAAAAAACAAAACTACAAACCACCAAACCCACCCCAAACCTTGCATTATTCTGTTGGCAAAGATAAAAATCAACCTCTAACCCTGCTTGCCAGAGGTTGATGAGCAGGTTACCTCCTCATGTAGGATTAACTCCCAAGTTGCAAGGTTCGTGGCCTCTGCTGCCCAAATGCTAATGTGTGGACAGCTGACAACTTGGTCTGTGACCACACAGTCTGACAGTTCATACATCTTAAAAAGCCATTAACCATGGTTATAATGAGCAAAGAAGACCTGGAACGAGCAGACTGCTTGCCACTGATGAGATCGTAAGAGGAAACTAAGAAACTATAGCTCTACATATGTGTCTCATCATTCAAATCGGATTTCAATTTCAGGTATACTGAAGATTTTTTTTTAACCTTAGAAGTAAAAAGAGGAAAAAGCAGCATTAATTCCACTCCCTCCTGCTCAAGTGCTTACAGTGAAAGCTTCTCATCAGCTATTCAATCGCACTAGACCAGGGTAATGATTTCGTAAGAGTCAGGAAACATTCAGCACTTGACTCTTTCAGAACACATTCTGCTGTGGCAGGCACAGAGTTGCACAGAGACACACGTAAAACGTTACATGTCTTGCAATGGCTGTTAACACCCACACCGCACTGTTCACTCTTACTGTGCAACACTCTTGACCAAATCACAGATTTTTCTCTCTCTAATGTTTAATGAAAGACATAAGTAAAATCCAATTCTTGTTTTACAAATTAAATATTGCAATAAGGATATTTTAATCAATCAGACTTACATTTCAAATAAAACCTCAGCTATAGAGAGACTGACACAGAGCTGCAAAGCAGAAAACAAAGTCAGTTTCAGTAAGGTCTCACCTTCTTACAGCTACAAAACTGTTGTCTCAACCTGAGGGTTCCCAACTTTTCGGAAACATTTCTATACTTTAAATTCCTCAAACGAACTAGAATGCTAAAAACACAACTCATCATCTTCTCAGGAATGATTTGTGGGTCCAACATCCCTAAGTTTAGAAGAAAAATCTGTTGTTGCACTGCGATACTGTCAATACGAAATATGCTTTCCACTCCTCAGGAACGATGAAGTACATGCTGGTCTTACAGAGGGATAAGACTGGCAGGTTTGGGCTAGAAGACCTACAGGAAGAGTCAGGCAGCAATACCAGGTGTCAGTTTGTCCTGTGGCAGCTTAAAGCGAGCCTTTGGGCACTGCTGGTTTCCAAAAGGCAATCTTACACTTCAAGTAAGTGACGCTGCGGGCAGCACATCGACCACGGTGTAGGCTGCAGTTTGGAGTGTTTATTGCTGCAGGTCCATAGGTCCATCCCAGATGTAACGATGATGTCTCAAGAAAGTTTGTCACAGTGGCTCTTTTTCACATCGTCTGAAGCTGATAGAGTCTTGAACCTTTTTTCAAAAAATAACCCTGATCATTTAGGGATCCAATAAAGCTTTCAAAATCAGATACCTGGGGAAAGAAGAGAAAAATATAAACACCAAATTGGAAGAATGACATTTTATCTGATGTAAAGCAACATAAACGGTTTGAAAGAACTTTAATATTTCATTAAGTGAGCTAAGAACAGGTTAGCTTCCCTCGCAAATGACTGCAAGGTGGCATAGCCCTTTTGGGCTTTTCTGACACTGGTTTTACTGTGCTGTTCCCTAGAATAAGCATTCTCCACGTTATGGCATGCAGAAGGCAGGCACTTACATCGAAATCCAAGTTCTGAAACACAAGTATCTACCATATAAGAGTCTGATTTCTACCACTTTCACTGATTTCCAAACATTTGTTACAGGTATAGAACTTTGAATAAGCAAAAAATATTCTATACATGAAGGGAATAATCAGATTAATTGAATTAGCTTTCAGTAACTAGTTGCTGAATCAATGTTTATGTGAGAGGAGAGCTGGCAGCAACATGTTCCATCAGGCAGGATTCCCAGGAAATTCAGTCTTGGGTACTTCTGGACAAGTTTGGCAACTGAAGCCATCTTACCCCAGCAGGCCAAAGTAGGCTAACTGGGTAACACTAAGAACAGCATTAGTGCCCATAAGTCCCACAAAGAGAAATTCATTAGGACTACTTTCCACTCGTTGTGCTGGTTTTAGTTGGGACAGAGTTAATTTTGTTTGCAGCAGTTAGTATGCAGCTGCGTTTTGGATTTGTGCTGAGAAGAGCATGGGTAACACCGGTGCTCTCAGTTGTTGCTAAGGAATTTTTACATCAGCCAAGGCCTTTTTCAGTTTCTCATACTGCCCCTGTGTTCCCAGCTTCTCCTCTGCAAGAAGCTGGGAGGGGACACAGCCAGGAGAGCTGACCCAGCCTGACCAAAGGGAGATTTCATGCCGTAAAAAGTCATGCTCAGGGTATAGGTTGAGGGTGGGCTGGTTTCTTCATTCTCCCTCTCTCAATCTGCTCTCCCCGACTCGTTGGGCTCGCTCTGGTGTGGTCTCAAGCTCTGGCTCTCGCTAATCAGGACCTAACTGGGCATCAGCAGGTGGTAAGCTATTGCATCACGTGCTTTATTTTCATTACCTATTACTAGTGGTATTATTAGTATTGTTGGTATCACTAATTTATTCATTTACATTCAGTTATTAAGTTGTTCTTATCTCAACCCATGAGTTTCCTTGTCTTTTCCTCCACTGGAGGAGGAGAAAGGTGAGCAAGCAGCTGTGTGGTTCTTGATTGCTGGCTGGGATTAAACCATGACAACACTGAAATCCAGTTTTAGGTTTTAAATTGGCATTTAAAGCTTTTTATCGTGAAGCAAAGAGTAAAATTAGCAATTGATATTTTTTTGTTCGGCTGAAGTGCCCCACAAATGCAAAATGCAAATCAATTACAGGATAACACATCTGTGGCCATGAACCCCACAGGATATGCACATCAAGTTACAACGTTAGGATGCTCAAAGCGGGCCGAAGGGCGTATTTGGGCCAAGCAGAAACATCACTCTACTGCTGAAATAGAACATGAACACCACAAGTCTAAATGTGGGAATAAAACTAGGTGCGTCCCCTGGGGAGCCAGAAGAAGCAAGGTGCACTGAAACCAAAAACTGCCTTTCATGAAACAAAGCAGAATCTTGTTAAGGACCAGCTTCAGAAGCAGAACCAACCTTTGCTAGCGCAAGGAGTTGTTACAGTAAAATTCGTAAAGCTTACAGACAAAGGCAGTTCAGGAAGAGTGCTCAGTCAAAAGGGAGCAAAGACTGCTTATTTCTGCTCATTGCAGAGGGGCACAACAGGTGTACATTTCCCACTCCCCAATTTGCAATACATGATTACGACTGGTCTTGCGGTTTGTTGTTGAAGAAAAGCTTGATTTCCAAACCTACTCGTATTTGTAGCTCCTTCGCAATCTGTCGAAGCTGTTGCAAGTCAAAGAGATTGTTGTAGGTTCTCTCTGCAATACTGTTAAGGGCAGAAACAAATATTTTTGCCTGTGACCGATTGCTCATCCCAGACCCATGCTGTGAACGTTCAAAGTCCAGCTTTCCAAACTCATCGGAGTAGGTTCCCAGCATGCTGAAAATATACAAAACCAAACCAAAAATCAACAGGAGGTAAAAGCAAGAGTACATGCATTTGCTTCCTGAAACATAATTGCTTGAGAAAGCTTTCAGAAGCCACACAGGAAACCATCCCTTAGTAAGAAAGCCTAGGGAACCCATCTGCCCAAATCGGTTTTGCACTCGGATTGTTCCAACGGCAACAACAGGGAGTAGTCACACAAGAGACCTTTAGCAGCGTCTCATGTCTAACTTACTGTGTACTGGTCTACGTAACCACTACAGTGATACAGCTCCAAGGCCTAAGCAGTCATACCCAACTTCGGGCTGCTGTCAGTTTTCACAGGAGAGCTAATAAACCTGAGTATCAGTATCAATGGGCCTAAACTTGATAATTTCTTCACTGTATTTGCATATCTGTATTTAAAAAAAATAAAAAGTTTTGATTGAATAGCACTGTGATGCTTTATTTATTTTTAAAGAAGCATGTATTACCTATATTTCATTATTTCTATTACATCCTCAGCATCTTCCTTGGTGGATTTCTCCCTTAATTCCAGCCTTGATCGTGCCTTAAAACAAAACAAAAACCCCACAGAAGATATATTACAGCTGATGTTGAGAAAGTTTACAATCACCCTACAACAAGCACAGATTTTTAGGAGCAGAGCTGGAACCTGAGCCTATAGGATTTAGAGGAAGATTCTCTATTTTTTCGATAGTTTGAGTGTCATCTCCTGGATACTCACATTACTAGGCTGTAGCTTCAAGTTTACTTACTTTGTAACAGTGCAATCTTGGGAAGCAGATGGTCACAGTGTTATTAGGGCACAGGTTAGGGAAAACAGGAGCAGTTCAAGTTGGGCAGCAGCTTGCCCCTGCCTGCACGTGTTTTTTCTTCTTTTGAGTATATGACAGATTCTCTTTCCACCCCCTCAAGGGTGTTTTCCTTTAAGAGGCTTTAAGCAACAGTAGTTCTTAAACATTTGTAAGTCTCTCGCATTCTCACTTTTTTTTTTAAGAACACACACACAAAAAAATCCCCATAGCCTTGAGGAAACTGTCAAAAGTTATAGGATATCCCTAGTACTTTAGGAATAATCTCTTTGCTTTCAATCTCTTAAGTCTTACAGGTTACATTTACCTCTGTAAGCCGAATCAGTGACTCTAGCTGTCTCGTGGTGATTGGCGTGCTGTCTACTCCTTGGTTCTGTTTCCGGAGCTCAAGGTAGAATTCCTGGAGGACCCGAGCAGCTTCCGGGGATAACGTTGGGTGAACATACTGCCGAGCATATCCGACATACTTTCTCAGCATCTGATGTGGAACAGCGTCAAAGTTTTCTCCTGGTAAGATCTAACCCAATCACAAAGAGCTTAGATTTCTGTCTGTCAGAACACTACTGTACAATACTAATGTTAACATGAAATCATCTCCTATGTTTTATCTGGTGAAATCTTCACTGTTAGGGCTTTACTGCTTCTAAGAACTGTGTACTTAGAGTCCATGCACTGTGCTTAGACGTGCAGGTAACACACCCTGTCATTTCCAAAAGAGCAGCCAAAGTTTCTCATTTGCAACGATAAGTGCCAAATATAATTTAATTATATCAAGAATTCTGTCTCAAGAAGAGAAAATTCAACTTCCCAATTGTTATAAAATAGAGCTCCACATATTAAACCATCACTGCTGACATCCCATTTCCAAAAGTGCATGCTTTTGGCTCCAGTAAGGGTTATTCATCCCAAGACCTGGCATTTGACAGTATCAGTCCTCAAGCTGATCGCTTAAGTTTCATAAGAAATAGGCTTCCTCTCCTATAATCCCCAAATCTGTCATGAGTTGCAGATGTTTCAAGATTTGTTTACACACTACTCTTTTTTGGGCTCAGCCCTTCACAGCACATTGTGCTATACTAAATTATTATATCCAGTCTAGCTCTGTAGCTCTTTATTGAGATCTAATGCAGCAAATTTGCTTTAGACCATCTCATGCAAAGCGTCTTATTACTACTGCAAATGAAAAAAATAAACCCAAAACACCCCCCAGCTCAAGCTAATAAATTCTCTTCTGTGTGGAGATGAAGATGGCTTGAGACACATCTTCAGCAGCTCCAGCAGGGTGGGTAATGTTAGGTACAACAGACAATCGGTTGAACCTGGCAGCTGGAGCCTTGAATGCTTCCTCTTTAATTCAGGGCCAATCATTATGAGAAGAATGGGAGATTGAGGACATGCAGGTCAGGGCTGCCGGGTTCCAACGCGGGGAACGCCACAGGAAGAGCATGGCAGCAGTCACAGGACAAGTCCTACCTTTAGTCTTTCAAGCAGCGGTCGATCCGCAACAGCTTCGAGAACAGAGCGATCCTGGGTGTTGGTACGAGTCACAACAGCGCTGCTGCACGCTGCCTGCTTTCCAGCTCGGATGGCCATCACGTGCTCGGATAGCAAGTGATCGTGATCTTCATTCGGGGTGTCCAGCAGAATGAAAACTAAATCAAATCTCGACAGTAAAGCACTCCCCATTCTAGAGTGAAGACAAGAAAGCCACACAGTACTCATAGTAGTGGAAGAATTGCAGTAACTCTGCTCCACTTTAAAGACTTTTTAAAAAAATCCTGTCCTGTTCACTCAGAATGAAGTAGAACAGCAATTTCTCTCCCAAAAGCCACAAAAAATTATTATAGTAAGTTTGTGTTCAAGCTCCAGGAAACTAGAAAGCAATTACATTCAACCTGTAAGACTACCAGAGTACCTACTCCTGAATGATCTATATAAGCAGCATTTCAGAAAGTGCTCACTTTAAATTCTCAGACACTGTTTTGGCTTTGTTATAATGTCCTCCCACTGGGTTGGCTGCAGCAACAATCGATGTCCGAGCCGGCAAACTGCAAACAATGCCAGCCTTGGCAAGGCTGATGCTTTGCTGTTCCATGGCTTCCAACAAAGCCTGATGCTGGTTTCCCATCTTATCAAATTCATCTATGCCACAAATACCTGGAAGCAATTAACATAAGACAAAGACTTATTAGAAAACACGTTAACTGAGGGACAAGTGCATGCCACAATCCAGTGCTGACTGTACAATCTGACAGACTGTATGCTACAAGCTGTCCCAAGTCCAACCTAACATCTTGGGGGCTGCAGGAGACATCGGACCAAGACTCCTTCAGCACGCTGCCACAGCCGAACCATTATGAAGTTGGCCTGTCTCACAGAAGCTGTGTCTTGATTACACATTACAATGACAACACAAGCTTTTTAATAATAGAAACAGACAAGTCTCATAAGCCAGGTTTTTTTCAAAACTAGTAAGAATCCAGTAGCTGCCATTACGTCAGAGATTTCTCAATAAGGAAATCCTAATTCTTTGACACATTAAGTAAGGCTGGTATGTGAA